TTCAATGAATTAGCCACTCCTCGGAGGGAAGGTTGGGCAATCCTACTTCCGTAGTGATACTGCCTCGGAAACCCAAGGAGGGGTCGCTATGAGTCAGGGCCGACTCGACGGCAGATAACAACAACAACAATAGTACTATACCAACTATAAAGTGTCTTACAGTAAGGGTTTTTCTCATCTGCTAACCAGAAGGCTGGTGGTTCCAACCCACCAGCCACTCCTCGGAAGGAAGATGGGGCAATCTGCTTCCATAGTGATGCTGCCTCGGAAACCCAAGGAGGGGTCGCTATGGGTCGGGTTCGACTCGATGGCACATAACAACAACAACAATTGTTCTTTTAATCCTTTTAAAGTTTCTTTTCTGAGTTTAATGTACATTCCTCTTCTATTTCTTATTGTCTCCTTTAGTTAATTATTACACATAGACATATAGGAATAGCAAAACAATCTTCAGGCAGAAAACAAAATCACTAGTCAGATAGCTCAGGAGAAAAAAGAATAGGGGTTTCTTATATCCAGAAAATAGAACATCAAGACAGTAGCAATATTTTTCACATCAAATCCATAATAATCTTTCAGTCCACTCAGCCCTATGATATTAATCTCTGTTCCACTCAGTCCTTGATGAGCAGTCTCATCAGCTTCTCCACAAGAAATTTTGATTCAGTCCATTGATATCCACATTCAAAATATTTATCACAGTTCTATGAATCTCTGATACAGTCCCTTTTGTTGAACTGCTATGGTTATGTGCTTTCAGGGAGTCAGCAAAGTAAAAACTATTTGCAGATGGTAAAATCTTAAAATGGCCCTGGTTAACTTATAATAAAACATTTGATGAGAATTCATTATGAAAGTAAGGCAAAGCAAAACAAAGTCAATTTTAAAAAAACTTCAGATAAAAAAAATCTCTAAACATATTTAACCCAATTTTTAAAGGACTTTAGATATAATGTGTATGATGAGCTTTCTTCCTCATGAGACATAATAGCATACAGTTTGTTGTTGTTGTTGTTGTTATGTGCCGTCGAGTCAGACCCGACCCACAGCTACCCCTCCTTGGGTTTCCGAGACAGTATCACTACAGAAGTAGATTGCCCCATCTTCCTTCTGAGGAGTGGCTGGTGGGTTTGAACATCCAGCCTTCTGGTTAGCAGTCAAGTGCCGTAGCCACTATGCTACCAGAGCTCCCAGCATATAGTTAGAATATACTAAAATGATCAAGTCTTTAAATATCTGAATATTACTAAAATTACATAGATATACTATGTACTCCAGTTAAAACCATTGGTTTCAATGATGCTAGATTTCAAACTAAAGAAATAAAATTGCAACCAACTAACAATTTAAAATTCTTGTTGTCCATAGGTAAATACTGTTACATACACAATATTGCATCATCAGTAATAACAAACATTAATCTACGGGTTGGTACATAAGTAGACAGACAAGATGATCAGGTATGAGTAGACAAATAGGAACATACCCATGACCATATATAAATTTACTCATAGTGAGTTTCCAAGGCTGTAAATCTTTATGGAAGTAGATTGCGCCATCTTCCTTCTGTGGAGTAGCTAAGGGGCTTGACCCACTGATCTTCTGGTTAGCAGCCAGATGCCTTACCCACTACACCACCAAAGCTCCGGGGGGCACAGTGCCTAAAGCACTTGACTGCTAACCAGAAAGTTGGGGGTTCAAACTCACCTGTCACTCCATGGAAAGAAGACAGGAAAATCTACTTCTATAAAGACTTACCACCTCAGAAACCCAATGGGGTTACTAAGAGTTGGAAGCAACTAAATGGCAGTGAGTTTGGTTTTATTTATTTTTTTATTTTTGGCGTATATATGAATTTGGCAGACAATATTTCTATATTGTATATGAAATGAAAATGTCCATCTATAATAGAATGAATAAGGGGCATAATTATTATAACCTCTCAGCTACAACAAAACACCTTGAGGGAGGGAGATGATGCTGCTGGGCCTGTGAGTTTGGGACCATGGTTGCAAGAGACCAAAAAAAAAAAAAAAAACACTGCTGTTGAGTCAGATCCTACTCATACTACTCATAGTGCCCCCTCCTTGGGTTTCTGAGGTGGTATCACTACAGAAGAATATTGCCCAATCTTCCTTCCAAGGAGTGGCTGGTGGGTTTGAACCACCAGCCTTCTGGCTAGCAGTCAAATGCCTTATGCACTATGCCGTCACAAGCTCAATTGGCATAACATAGTACACAAAATATTGTTCTACATCCTACTTCGGTGAATAGCAATTGGGATCTTAAAAGCTTCTGGGGGTACAAAATACCCGCAATCCTTACAGAAACAACAGAAGACAGACATAGAGCAATCCCTCACAGATAGCCAGACACTGTAGGATCCAATGTATCTACTGACTCAGGACCATAGTATCAGGGGACACCAGACTCAATTGGCACAACAAAATAAATAAACATCTTGTTCCACTATCTACATTGGTGAGTAGCAACTGGGGTCTTAAAAGCTTTCAAGTGGCCATCTAAGATGCAGCTAATGGTCTCCTATCATCAGCAAAGAAGAGTGCAAAAAAACAAGGACATTTGGAGGCAATCAGCCCTAGGACATGATGGACCTTGAGACCAGAAGAACTAGATGGTGCCCGGCTACCAATGCCAACCACTCGGGAAAGGATCAAAATTGGAGATCCTGGATAGAGTGGGAGGAAAAACGTGGAACAAAATCCCAAAACACCATAATGACCAGAACTACTGGTTGGATGGAGTCTGGTAGGACCCCCAATACTATGGCTCTGGGATACACTTCAGGCCTGGACTAAAACTCACCCCCAGGGGCGGGCTCTCAGACCAACAGGAAACAAGATGTACACGCAGACCACCCAACCCAGAGTAACACACCCACATACTCTATGGAGATGTATCCCTTGGAGCAATCGACCACAGGGCACCAGAGGTGCAACATTCGCATGGAGGAAATGTGGGACACACGGAAGTGCATAACTATGAGGGGCACGGGGGCAGGGAGTATGGGAAGGAAGGGGAAGAGAGTGGGTTAGGGTTGAGGATGGTAATTGAAAAGCAAAACTTATATCCATCCAGGTTTTTGTTTTGCTTTCCTTTTTCTCATTTTGGGACAATTTGTCTTTTACTTTAGGACAAAATTATTCCACATTTAACCTAAGTTATTGATAAAGATCTTGGAAACTGTTTTTAGGTTGACATAGCACAAAACACAAAAACTTTGTCAGAATAAATTCACCATTTCCTCATCTGTTAATTTGATCACCTCCACCATTTCTGGGTCTGTTTCTTTTCAGTAGTTTTTCTCTTGCTTATGTCTCTCACATTTTCCTGCTCCTTGCATTCCTAGTAATTTTTTACTGGGTGCTGAGCATTGTGAATTTTACATTATTGGGTACTGGATTTTCTTGTATTCCTTTAAAGAGTTTTGGAGTTTATTCTGACAGGAAATTTAGTTACTTGCAGATCAGCTTGATTCTTTTAAGGTTTGCTTTCAAGCTTTGTTATAGTGGGTTTAGAGTAACCTCTGTTGTTGTTGTTATGTGCCGTGGAGTCGGCCCCGACTCATAGCGACCCCTCCTTGGGTTTCGGAGGCGGGAGGTATCACTACAGAAGTAGGATTGCCCAACCTTCCTTCTGAGGAGTGGCTGGTGGGTTTGAACCTTCAGGAATAATTTATCCTTATCACTAAAGTGAATGATGTCTCCTTTGAATGCCCCAGGTGTTCAATGAAGACTCTTCCTTCTGCCAGGTTGGAACTTGATTATCTTCAGCTTATTGCCCAGTTGGGTAATCTTTGTACAGCCTCATGGGCTTTCACCCTCTGCTTGCATGACTTATTAGACAGCATATGATTCTTGGGACCTTTGTAGAGATTACTAGAGCTCTTTCCCTGCCTCGCTCCCTCCAGGCAAGTACTCCACCCTGCATGTTCCTGTGAGGTCAGCCTTCTCCAATTTCAACTTCTCTCTCTTCAATTCAGAGAGACCGTCATGCTCTGCTTGGATGCCTTTTCCTGCTGCCAGTGAGCGTCTGGCTCACTTCATTTGCTTCCCTTCTCACAGGGATCACAGTCCTGCATTGCTAGTGTTCAATGTCAGAAAGCAGTTGCCTTATCTATTTTGTTCAATTTTCTAGTTGTTTATGATTGAAGGGTAAGTCTAGTTCTAGTTATTTCAACATAGCCAGTATTATTTTTATTATCAGGAAGAAGACATTAAAGAGAATTGGCTTATTAATTATTTTTAAGTATAAATAACATTTCTGGTCTAAGATTACAAGCTGTAATCTTACCTGTCAAGTGCATAGTATCTTAGACTCACAACTTCAGTTTTTAAGACAAAATTTTAAGCTCAGTTTTAGACAGTTTGACAGACTTTTATGTCACTGCTAAAAGTTCAGTAACTGATACATGAACCTACAGTCTGTTGACCTAGCAACAGATCATGAAGATTTAGAAATGCCTACTTGCTTTATTTAAATTAAAATGGTATCTTGATCTGGGCTTCTTAATTTTATGGTAGAAAAACCCATCTTTCCAAAACAACCAGAAACTGATTTATGTATTGTTAGTGTTTTTCAGACTTTAAATTCAGTCTTCCTTGATAATTGTATGCTGCTAAAATAAAAGTGTTAATTTTTTTCTGTTGTTGCTGCTGCTGCTGTTAAAGTATTATACAGAGCGAATTTCCCAGCTGGTCCAGAGTAAATATTTACACATGCTTAGGTGGAAGAGATTTTGTCAGCATAGTAAGATCATGGAGCAACTTTATCCTCTTTACCAGGTAGGAAGCCCGTGACAAATGTGCCTGTGGGTTGCTTTTCATAATGAAACATAATAGTCAGTATGCTTGCCAATTTTTAAGTTGCATCTAAAGATGGAGTCACAGCTAAAGATGAGAGATCTAGTGGCGTAGTGCCTAAGACACTTGACTGCTAACCAGAAGGTTGGCGGTTCAAACCCACCAGCCACTCCTCGGAAGGAAGATTGGGCAATCTACTTCCATAGAGATACCACCTCAGAAACCCAAGGAGGGGTCACTATGAGTTGGAGACAACTCAACAGCTTGTAACAACAACAACAAAGATGGGAAAGGAACTAATAAACCCACTTCCGTAGAGTTGATTCAGACTCAAGGTGACCCTGTAGGACATAGTAGAACGGTCCCTAGGGTTTCTAAGGCTGTAAATATTTGGGATACAGACTGCCTCATCTTTCTTCCATGGAGCAGCTGGTGGGTTTGAATCACTGACTTTTTGGTTTGCAGCCCAAAGCTTTAACCACAGAACCACCAGAGCTTCTTTGAATGAATTATTAGGTGGACCTATTTGCCTGTCCTGTCCATAACAGGTGATAATGACACCTATTTTTTTTTTTTTAAATGAAATTTGAAAGGGTTTTGTGTGATAGGAAATACATTTCTCCATAGGCCAGATCTCATCTGCCATAGGTACAAAGTTCAGAAGCCAACTCCAGTGACCAAATGTCCTTATATGCTGATACTTTGCTGGAGTCTCATTTCCACATCCTAAGAATGTGACTGCTGTTCTTGTCAATCAAATTCAGAAATGAAAGAACTTTGGGATTCCAAGAACTCCCTTATTTCCAATGCTCCCAGAATAGCATTGCCCTAGGTTTGGATGCAGTGGTACAGGAGGATAAAGCTTGTAAATAACCAAGTTCTGTCTTTGTATTTCTCTTAAACAGAAACAGGTTGGTTACATTATGCAGGAGTACGATGATGCAGTTCAGAGGGCTGAAAGATTGTCTGTTGCCCGAGAAAACTTCCTTATGGGAAAAAACAGCTCTCCTAATTTAGTGACACAGGAAGATCTGACTATTTACACAAGGTGGTTAGTGTGTCACCTACACTCTCTCAAGACTGTTCATCATTACCTACAAGTAAGAACAGCACATGAAACATTGTTATGTGATGAGACAGTGCCTTGCCAGGAATGGTCATCCATTGTTTTCTCATATTTGTCACCTAGTTTCGGATTGTCAATGTTTCTGAACTCTACCTACAAATTATAGGATCAATAGTGAGTCACTGGCCTTTTCTTTGAAACCCTTTAAGGTGAACTCTATCTTGCATAATAAAATCATTGTATTATTTTTGCTTCCTACCTTTACCTTCCTCAGGATCTATGCTCTCCAATTTGTTATTGTTGTTGTTATGTGCTGTCAAGTTGTCTCTGATTCATAGCAACTCCTCCTTGGATTTCTGAGATGGTATCTCTACAGAAGTAGATTGTCCAACCTTCCTTCCGAGGAGTGGCTGTGGATTTGAACCTCCAGCCTTCTGGTTAGCAGTCAAGTGCCTTAGGCACTATGGCACCAGAGCTCTTTTTATTCAATAATATTTAAAGAGGTTTCTAAATGTCTTAGGTACTTACTTGCCTTGGGCCATGCCACAAAGAGATGGTCTTTGCTAAAAAGGAACTGGGTCCCAGGCTGGTAGGAAGACGGGCAAGTAAATATTCAACTGAAGTACAATGTGATAAGAAAGAGTAGAAAAAGTGTAAGTACAGGATAAAACAAGGTACATAGGAGTGGCCCTAACCCCGGCTAGAGGCCTCAAGGGAACAAGCAACATGATCACATTTTCATTTTAGAAAGATTCTTGTTCTATCAACCAAATTCTTTCCTATTCCTGTAAGCATTATCTCAGTGACAGCACCATCCACAGGATTACCCAAACCAGAAAACTGGCTGTCGTGCTTGACTTCATCTTTTCCCCAATTCCAGCCTGTCACTGTCAAGTCCACCTCTGATATATGTCCCCAGTCACATTGTATTATAATAATCTGCTCATAAGTTTGAATGTCCTACTAGACTGTGAACTCTGTAAGGTTGGTCCATGCCTCAGTCATCTTTATATCCCTAGCATTTCACAAGTAACTTGTCCATCATGGGTGCCTGATCAATGTAGACTTGGCTAAGATGAATGTCATTCAGAGCTGGTGATTCCACCAGTCTCCAAACTCTGGATTTAGTCCCTCATGATTGGGTAGGTTTCTGAGGTCCACCTCTACCTCCCTCCTTCTCAGTCAAAGCAAAATGTTGCTCCTGAACCCCAGGCTAGAAGCTTCTGTGTTAATTGAGTTGACATGTGGCCTCTTGGTTATATCCTTCCATAGGCCCTCCAGTATTTGCCCATCTCCAAAGCACTGAGCGTAACTGCCAACAAACTCCCTGAGGTTGGTCAGGAACATGAAAAGGTCTTTGTCAGGGGCATCAACTCTGACATCCAAGGTTCCGCTTCTCCAGGCCCAACGAATGCCAACATTCCAGGTAAGAAATGTGTCTTCTTTCACCAGAGTAATGTGGAGAAAATAAGATTGTAATTTTGTCATGTGTTGTTTTGTCACATGATTGAAAATTTTTTATACACTAAGGAGTTATATCTTCTTTATAAATAAGTGTTGATTTGATATTTTCTAATGGGAAACATAATAAGCCCTTCCCTTAGATATTTTAATCCCCACCTTTATAACTCACAAATTCAGAGCAAGGAAAAAGCAATGGACTTGATGTCGGAGTACTAGGCTCTACACCTGCCTCAGCCTTCGCCTCGCTGTGGGCCTGCGTGGTTAGGTCATTTCATCTCCTTGGACTTCAGTTTACTCATCTCCAAAAAAATCTTTCAGATTAAGTGGCCTCTAAGGTTCAATATTACATAATTTAAAAAGAACTTCCTCATCTGAATCTATTTACTACTGTTTTCGTACCCTTACGTATGTTACAGATGATTAAGAAACTTACTCAAGTTTCTATTCTGAATGACATACTTGCTTAAGGGTATGTACAGGGTGTCACAGGAGCATCTGGGGGAAGCAGTCAATCCAGTTGTGAACATCAGAGAAGATTTCTGGAAGGAGAAGAGTCCAACTGGGTTTCTACGGATGAGTAGGAGTTAGCCAGAAGAAGGAAGGTGAAAGTTCCCACCTTCTAATTTATTTTTAATACATAATAATCTATAAATAATACATAAATCATACTTTTCATTTACCACAAAGGACTATAGGCAGTTATACTTCTGCTAAGTCATTCACCAAAGCATCTGTTGCATTTCTCTGGTAGGCTGGGAGAAGGTGAAGAGTCTTTGCCACCTCTCTCAGAGAGCCAGCATCAAGAATTCATCGTGGATGCCTGGACAAATGCAGTGCAGACTGTAAATTGTGGCAGAGATGGCAGGGCAAGGAGCAGAATGGCCCTCCCACCCACAGAGGAGGCCCTGCCTTCAGTTATCTCCAAGGACCTTTCTGTCTTTTCCCTTGACTGCTGTTCATGGTCTTAATGCATTTGATTTGGGATTTTTTCAGGGTCAATGGGGACAGATGCTGTTTCCGTCCTGCCCCAACACATAACAGAAACAGGAAAACTAAAATCACCGCTGAGGCTTCTGCTCTCCTATTTCAAGATCCCATACAACGTGGAGGAGCTAAGGGACTCTGCGAAGGAGATGGAACTTTTTTCCTTGGTACTTGATGGCTTCTTTCTTTCTTTTTTTAATGTTCAACTTCTTTTATTTATTTATTTATTGTGATTTGGGTGAAGATTTACAGAGCAAATTCACTTTCCATACAGCAGTCCACATACACTTTGTCTCATGACATTGACCACAATTTACTACAATGCAACAGCTCCCCTCCCACTTCCTTCCAATAATTACCTCCTCCCTGTGTTCATCCCTCCATGCCCTCCTGTCCCCTGAGCTGTCTCCCTGTGCATAAGCAGCCCTTCTTTCTCCCATGATTGTTCTTGATGGCTTCTTTCTTAATACAAATATGGATACTCATGAAAGAAAATCCTAGTATTTGCCACAGAGTTAGATATTTTTACTGCCAACAATTGTTTCTTGACTGATAAATATAATACTGTTGTTGTGTTGTTGTTATGTGCCGTCGAGTTGGACCCGACTCATAGCAACCCCTCCTTGGGTTTCCGACACAGTATCACTACGGAAGTAGATTGCCCCATCTTCCTTCTGAGGAGTAGCTGATGGGTTTGAACCATCAGCCTTCTGGTTAGCAGTCAAGTGCCTTAGGCACTATGCTACCAGAGCTCCTAAATATAATACTAGTAGGTGGGATTTAGTTTAGCAGTTAAAAGTCCTCTTTAAAGGTAATGAAAGCCTGGAATATATTGAACCAAGAGGGACTGTAGGATTCATTTTTCTGAATTTAAAGGAAAAGGTAGGCTATAGTTCATGTTGTTGTTGTTGTTATGTGCCGTCGAGTCGGACCCGACTCATAGCAACCCCTCCTTGGGTTTCCGAGGCAGTATCACTAGGGAAGTAGATTGCCCCATCTTCCTTCCGAGGAGTGGCTGGTGGGTTTGAACCGCCAGGCTTCTGATTAGCAGTCAAGTGCCTTAGGCACTATGCAACCAGAGCTCATATTAGCTGATGGAAATGTAGTTGAGATTTGGCAAATTTTTATGGCGAAGATCTCAAGTGCCTAAAGCCCTCCAATTCTTAGCATGTGTTGCATAGCTCTCCTTACAGCCAGGATGCTTTGTATTCACTAAAGTGTACATTGTATAGTGATGTTTAAAGATATGCAATGCAGTCTACTCGACTATAAAACAATGTTGCACTTCCTTTAAAAAAAAAAAAAAGCAACTCATATTATCAAAAGCCACATTATTTAAAAACTAAATGTTTCAAAGGAATAAACAATTATGGGTAGAGAGTTTCAAATTTATACTAACAAAGTTACTTTTTAGCAATAGTTTCACAATAAAGATATTTTTATAGCTCCAAGTGTATATTATTTGCAAGCGTCTCTATTTGCAGGGTAGAAACAATAACTTGATTGAGCCAAACAGACAAAATCAAAGCCAGAGTTTCTGAACGTCCTTTGTGTCCTCTGTCTCTTCTATCATCATTTACCTTAACCTTGAAGTTTCAAAGCATTTGCAACTGTTCCAGGATTATTTTCCCAGAATTGTATCTATTAGTATGAAAAACAGACTCTTCACACTCACTGGAACCAGTGGTATCCTGTGCCGTCTGTTTTTTTGAAGGCAGTGATGTTCAGTTTTGCAATACTGTTGTCAGCGGAGTGCTTCAATGGGAGAATCCTTACCCTCTTTATCACTAAGGATTATAACAGACAAAGCAGAATTGCAGTAAGACAGTGTTTTTAAAAGATTTTGAATAAATAAAAATAAATTGTAGCACAATAGACCATCATCAATGATAAACCAAAGAACATGAGGCTGGCTGAGCACATCAACAAAGGAGACTTGTTTCTATATTGCTGTGAATGGCTGTCTCCTTCAGATGGTAACAATCCGCACTTTCGATTTTCTTATGACAGTATTCTGTGCAATGCTTATTGTACCCAAGATAATCACATTACAGCAATTTTTGGTGTAGGAAAAATGCCTACAGTTGGGTACTGTTTATGCTGGTACTCTAGTGCCCCAAAGCAAAGTAAGCAAACTCCAGCCTGTAGCCCCCATCTGTGTTTTTAAATAAAGTGTTATGGGGACAGAGCAAGGCCCTCTTGTTTCTGAATTGTCTTTGCCTGCAGTCACACTACAATGGCAGAGATGAATATCAGAGATCACATGATTTACAAAGGCTGAAATATTTATTTTCTGGCCCTTTATGAAAACGTCTGTGAACCCAGACCTACACCAGTGTGTCTAATAGAACTTTCTACCATGATAGAAATGTTTTGTATCTGGGCTGTCTGATAAGGTAGCCACTAGTCACTTGTGGCTATTGAGCCCTTGAAATATGGCTAGTGCAAAACAGGAACTTAATTTTAAATTTCATTTCATGAATATTTAAATGTCACACAACCACATGTGGCTAGTGACTACAATACTGGACAACATAGCCCTGTATGTCATTCTTTGAAAGACGTGTCAAGGAACCTTCAGCTCTGTGATTCATGAGCTCATTCATTCTGGAAATGTTTGTCAAGGCCCTTGTACGTGCTGGCACTGTGGTCACCTCATGAGATTCATAGTCCATGTCCTCAAGAAGCTCGTCACCTAGTGAAGAAATTGTGATGCACTGTGGTCACTGCAACGATGAAGACTTGGCCCCAGACAGGCTCAGCAGATCTGGGCTGCTCTGGAGAAGGGAGGAGGAAGTATTCAATATTGTGGCAGCAGGAAGTTGGTGGGTGATAGCATCAGGATGGAGTCTCTGGGTGGTACAAATGGTTAATGTGCTTGGCTTGCTAACCCAGCTGTGCTGGGAAGAAAGGCCTGGCAATCTACTTCTGAAAAATCAGCTGTTGGAAACCCTATGGAGCAGGGTTCTACTCTGATACACACGAGATTTCCATGAGTCAGAATCAACCTCATGGCAACCGGCACTGGTAGCATCAGGACTACATTTAACGAACACCCCTTTCAGATAAGAGTGCAGCCATCTTCTTTCTAGCAATGTCCTGATCAGCCTTCTGAGAGCAGGATTTATTGAACCCTTAGATTTTCTCACTCATTAGATGGTCAGAAAAAGTGAATGATCCAAAAGTAGACAATTTATGCTCCACATACAGTTAGGCTCAAAATACATACAAAAATATGTATTATATATAATCCCAGTCACTGGACCAGACATTCAGAACAAGTACCACACACATGATTATGGTAATAAGCTGAGTGGGTCCATGTATCACATAGGTACAGACATTTAAGGTCCTAGCACTACCACAGGGTCATGTTTTATTAATTAATTTGCCTCCAAGGCTATTTCAAAGTCAATCAGTAGGTGGTTTTGAAATTGCCTACAATCTGAAACTTTTCTCTGGGCCCCACTTTTCTTTTCTTAATCTTGTTTAGGTTTCCCAGAAATTTCAAAGCATCTTCAAAGAGCAACAGAGAATGCAAACATTTCCAGACTATGATGCTGGGATAGCTAAAGCTGAGTGCCAGGGTTTGGCAGGACCTGGTGTGGCCCTGAAAAAGAGAGCCAATTGGATTTCCTTTATAAAGGTAAGGGGATTTGTGACAAGGGTCACCTGTTCAGTGATGTCAGAAGGTGTTCTCCAGGCAGGCCAAGCAACCATGTAGCACCATGTCTGTCTGGTCCTTTTTGTTCCCTCTCCTCTGTGCCTTCAGCTAATTGTCCCCAGGATCAAGAGGAGATGCCTAGTTGTCCTCGGGAGAGGCAACGTACAGAACATGGCTTTGTGTCCTAGGATCTCCCAGCTTTACACCTGCCTCAGGTGTATGTTGAAGTTGGCCATGTTGATCTGCCTGCTCTGGAGGTTCCCCATATACCTATGCCCCTCTCTTCTGGGTCAAAACTGTTTTTTCCTGTTAGTGAGCTCAAGCACCTGGCAAGAAGAAAAAATAATACCCAAAAGTGTAATTGATTTGTATAAATCCCACTTTTTAGTGAAAAATGATGTATTGAGTACAATTGTGTGTCAGCCATGGTCTTAGATACAGGAGATACACAATTGGGTAGTGGTAAGTATTGTGAAGGAAAAAAAAATTGTATGTGAGAAAGGCGGACTGAGGGAAAGGAGAGTAACCAAAGATTACTCTTAAGTCTATGGACTTGAGCAACTGGGTGGCCAGTGTAGGGAAAGCCAGACTTCCATTTTAGATTTTTACACTTGACATTCAAGCGTAGATATCAATGAGGTAGTTGGTTATAACAGACTGGAGCTTAGGGCTGAGATGTAAATTAGAGAGTCATTAGTATATAGATGGTATGCACAACCACAAGATGGTCCCTAGGTGGCAAAAACAGTTTGCCCTTGACTGCTAAAGGTTGTTTGTTTAAACCATCCTGTACTCTTACCTAAAAGGGGTGTTCCTTAACTGGTGATCTGCTTCAGTTAAGATTACAAAAAAAACAAGACAAAACAAAAACTCACTGCTGTCGAGTTGTTTCCAACTCACAGTGATCCCTCCTTGAGTTTCTGAGGCAGTATCTCTACAGAGGTAGATTGCCCAATCTTCCTTCTGAGGAGTGGCTGGTGGGTTTGAACCGCCAGCCTTGTGGTTAGCAGTCAGATGCCTTACAATTATAGCCAAGAAAACCCTATGGAGCAGTTCTACTCTGTGACACATAGGGTCTCCATGAGTGAGAGTGGACTTGATAGCAACTAACAACATAGGACTAATTTTATTTCATGAGTGTGAAAGATGAAGTCTTAAATGAGGAGTCACAAGGAGATTTGTTGGGTGCACTTTCCTTGTCCCACAAATCGAGTGCAATGTTCAACACTGATGGGTTTAGGGTGCCTCCTGCTCAGGGACCATGCTGTGTCACCCCAGATGGGCTACTGCATCTTAGAGGCCAGGCTCTGATATCCCACATAGACCCTATCTAAGACATTGCATGCTCTAGCAAACCTGCTATCTCTGATGCCAGATCCCATTCCAGAAGGTCCTTGAATCTCAATTCTTGCAAATTTTATTGAGAACAATTCTGTTATCCTCTAACTTTATGTGAACACATCTGTCCACTAGATTAAACCAAAATGTGATCCTTGGCAAAAAAAGTTTTTGGCCAAACTAAAAGAACGGAGAAGAATAGATTCATTAATGCAAATCCAAGCAAAGTTTTTGAAGGTAAGAAAATAACCATGGTCTCTTGTAGATATGATTATTAATGAAATCATTCTCAGAAAATTGACTTTTCTTTCTCCTTTTAAAAATGTGGGCATGGATTCACTATGAAGGCTTTATATGGATCTTTCTGATGTAATTGTCAAAGTTGTATAATCTTATTGGCTTTCAGAAGAGAGTGGGAATTTTCAAGAGCTGGATTTTAGGCCAGCTTCAGCACCAGCCTCTGTGTAATACAGGTCTAGTCATTTAGCCTCCTTAAGCTTTGTTTCTTCATCTGTGAAACAAATGGATTGGACTAGATGAACTTTGAGATTCCTTATGATATTAAGGCTCTCTAGGACCATTATTTGATTCTTTACCTTCAGAAGAGAAGGGACATTTACTCAGCACCTACCACAAACCAGAATTTTCATAGCAATCCTAGAAGAAATGTTCTTCTTCTTTTTTTATTGTGTTAAAAATGCATGTAACAAAACATTTGCCAATTTAACAGTTTACATGTACAATCCAGTGACATTGATTGCATTCATCATGTTGGCAACCATCACTACTGTTCTTTTCCAAATTATTCCATCATCATTAACAGAAACTCAATGTCCTCCAAGTAATGACTCCTTCTTTTTCCCTGCCTTATACCCCCATTAACGACTAATAAGTTCTGGTTTCTATACATTTCCCTATTTCTTATAAGTGAGAATGTATAACATTTTTCCTTTTGTCCACTAGATTAGAAATAGACTGACTTATTTCACTTAGCATAATGTTTTCAAGGTTCACCCACATAATGGCATACATGTATCAGAACTTCCTTTGTCTTTATGACTGTATATTCCACTGTATGCCTATGCCACATTTCATTTGTCCATCCATCAGTTGATGGGCATTTGGGTTGTTTCCACGTTTTGGCTACTGTGTATAGTGCTGCAACTAACATTCCTGATACAGATTTCTGTTTGTGTACTTACTTTCAGTTCTTTGGGTATGTACCTGTGGCTCTATGCTTAATTTTTTGAGACCTGCCAAACTGCTATCCATGTTACTATTCTTGTTAAGTTGACATGTTCTGCTCTGAGGTGAAAAGTCAGAATTCCAGCTAGGCTATGAGCTCAGGTCTGTGTCATTACAAAGCCTGTGTTTTCTCCATGCTACCAAGCTGCCTCCTCATCTATCTCATGGCAGTTTCTTTACAGTGGATGGAGTTTGTATCCAAAGCTGATGGACGTTTATCTTTTTATTGGCGCCCCAACACTTGTGGCAGCAATATATCTACAGAAGACTGTCACAGAATTTTAAATGACTGCCTATGTATATTTGAACACATAGATAGTTGAATGGGTGGACATTTTTTGGAAATCATGGTGCTTGGCTTAATTTTATTTTTTAGTTGAATAAAAAAAAAAAATGTGGGCCTTTTTTCTTTGTTCATGTGTATGTAGCCAAATTCTTGCTGGGAAGATGGGAACACAGCTTCTCTAACCATCCCTTTTCCTCTCCATTCTATTTGAGATTTCCAGCCCAGAGCGCATAATGCAAGTGCTCCAGGACCACACTGCAAAGACAGTCACATTGGCTCCACATCCATCTTTTATGGCTTCCCAGGGTTTGCATCAGTGCAATTATGACAAAATCTGGGAGCATATTTATAGCAACATCAACCTCTACCAGGTACAACAGAGTGAAATAACCAATACAACCTTCTGTTCAACTCATTACTTACGTGTACCAATGCCAGGGGCTGTTGAGTTGACTCCAACTCATGGCAACCCCATGTGTGTCAGAGTAGAATTGTGCTCCAGAGAGTTCAAGACACAGTTTTTCAGAAGTAGATGGCCAGACCTTTCTTTGGAGGCACCTTTGGGTGGCCTTGAACCTCCAAACTATCACTTAGCTTCTGAGCACATTAACTCTTTGCACTACCCAGGGACTCATAGCCCCCAGAGATTTACTGTGTTTTTTTTCAGATACCAACCCCTAAAACAGTTAAATTGCCTAACCAGATTTATTTTTATAATATATGTACAAAAAAGATTAAGTGCTAATTAAAAGGAAGAATTTTAAGAGATGTAATATAAGATGAGGTTCCTACCAGGACATATACTTAGGAAGATAAATACTGTTGCAGGGCTGCACATCCTAGCACTAAGCACCAGATGAATTGGACAGTTATGAAATGTTGTGTTGAGAGGGAGAGTGATCTCTACTGGTATAGCTCTATTGGGGAAGATCTCTCGAAGAAAGAGGAAATTGAATTGGGCTTGGAGGAAGCGTAGGTCTTCGGGAAGGGGAGAAGAGAGTGGAGGGCAGCCCAAGGAGCTATATAGAGCAGAAGCTGTATGTGGTGTATTCAAGCCTAGTTTGGTTGAGTGGAAGATTCACGTGGAAATACAGTGAAGAGAAGTTTTGGGAGGGTGGAGGCCAGGTTGCAGAAGCTTATAAATTCCAGACTAAGAAATCTGTGCTCTAACCTGTAAGGGAAGTGATATATATATATATCACTGATGTGACAGCAGGTGGATTGTGAGATTGAAAGAGAGAGGAATTGGAGGCAGGGAAATTGTTAAGTAGCTATTGCACAGGGTAAGCATGAAGTTAGTGAATAGAATTTTCTGTGCAAAGCTAATGGATATTTGTCTTTACAATGGTACTATGACATTTTCAAAGTTGTCATCTGCTATGATTTGCTTACTTCATTTGCTTGTTTAAGATGGGAATATCTGAGTGTGTTTATAGTCTGAGAGGAAGGAGCCAGTGGAAAAGAAGAAACAGACAATGAAAGGGAAAATATGAGAAACAGATGACCCTGGGGGAAGAGGAAGGGATGGGATGAGAAAGCAGTTGGAGGAGTAATTACTGGAAAGGGAGAAAGACATCACTTCCTTTGAGGTGAATGAGATAGAAGGAATTTTAAGGTGCATAAATCTTGTGAATGAGGGAGCTTGTGAATGGCCCTGGCTGTCTCTGAGAGAAAGGAAGAGGAGGCTGTCTGTATGAGGGAGGTAGGAAAGTGAGAGTGATATGTGAGGAGGTTCATCAGTGAGAGGAAGGCAACAGAACCTTCTGAGAGAAGAATATAAAGATCCTCATGTAGCAAGAAGACCCAGTTAAAGAAAGAGGGTATGAATCTGCAGTGAGCTCATTTTGCCTAATATGTCTATTACTTTCACCCTTAAAAATAATGGTAAAGTAACTGAAAATTGTACACAAAGTTAAGGTGTGGGAGAATTTAGTAGATGCTAGAATGTCATGGTAGCCATCCCAGGCTGGGTATGGAAGAAAGTGAAACCTGAAGGTGTCTAATGAGTTATGGATTGGCTGGAAGTGAACACACATGCATCTTTTCTATAAAGGTTCAATCTGCTTAAACAAGGATCTAGATACTCTAATAAGAAATGAGTTGGCCACACAAGTCAGGAGCAGATGCAGCAGATCATGTATGAATCTCCTGGCCCAAGAATTTCCTGACAGGGCATTCAATGAGGTATCACTGTCTCCTCAGCTGGAACTCTACCAGAGTTCAGAAAATAGCCACATTTTTCCTCTCCCACTGCTATTTCACACTGAGGTATATGTCATCATTCAGGAAGGCCTTGTCCTAATGAGGGGACACTTACAAACATCTGGCTCTCCTGATTCTTAAACCAATCTCAGAGGGTAGGAAGAAAAGAGGAGGGATAAAGCAGAGTCAGCACCAGGTAGCTCAGAAAAATGTCTCAGCTTCTGATCCTGGACAGTTTACTTCTGATGCTGATGCAATCCTCCTTTACCTGAATAATTCTGGCATGAAAATTGATTTGGGGACCATTGACACAACTCTGTTTTCCTCATTGGCTGAGAAAGAGAAGTTAAACTCCTGGGGACCAGATGCTGAAAGGAACTGAGTAAGAGTGAGGGAGGAGTAGGAGACCAAGGAGAACAGGGGCAGAGATCAGGAGCATCATGACATTGTGGAGAAGTGATGAGGTCCAAGGTGTGGCCTGGCTAACAGGTGACAGGGTTATAGCAGTGCCCATGGGCACATAGAGGGCAGAGCTGGTGACCTTTGTAGGACTACTGTGCTGGTAAAAATCTGGTGCACAGTGGGAGCAGAAAGTATGTGTTGAGATACTAACACGACATTAGGGCAACAGTGCGAGAAGCTGTGGTAGAAATGGAGGTAGGGAAGGTTCCTGCTTTCCCTTTTCCCAGGTATGCAGGCAAGGGAGAACTACCACTTCCAGCTCTTCTTTCTGTTACTGATTCTCTTCATTTTCAGAGAGAATAGGAAGTTGAGGTACTGATAGAATGCAGTCTGGGCTTTTACCAACATCTGTTTGCAGTTGTCCAAGTGTTCAAAAGGGGAAGGGGGAGTAAGAAAACCACTTCCTCTGGCTCTTTAACTCAGACCAAACCAAACTCACTGCCGTTGAGTCAGTTCTTACTCATAGCAACCCCTCCTTGTATTTCCGAGGTGGTATCTCTACGGAAGTAGATTGCCCAGTCTTCCTTCTGAAGAGTGGCTGGTGGGTTTGAACTGCCAGCCTTCTAGTTAGCAATCAAATGCATTAGGTACTACCCCACTATACTGACTTATAAATGTTCTTGGAATAGGCCAAAAGGTAAAAATATGAGCACTGTATTACCATGTTGATTTATGGTAGTAAATAGACCATAAAGCCACCATTTGCTTACCAGAAGGCTGGTGGTTCAAACCAGCCACTTCTCGGAAGGAAGATTGGGCAATCTACTTCTGTGGTGATCTCACCTTGGAATCCCAAGGAGGTGTCTCTCTGAGTTGGATCTGACTTGACGGTGGTGAGTTTATCTGTCAGTTGTCTCTATGTGGTGGTTTGTATGTTGTTGTGATGCTGGAAGCTATGCCACTGGTATTGCAAATATCAGCAGGGTCACCCGGGGTGGACAGGTTTCTGTGGAGCTTCCAGACTAAGACAGAGCAGGAAGAAGGACGTGGTGGTCCACTTCTGAAAAAATTAGATGTCCGACGTGACTCTGAAACTTGCTCTTAAGTAGAGAGTAACTAAAGTGAATGGAAGAAATGACGAAGCAAAAGAGCAGAAGAGATGATTTCAAAGGGCAGCTCAAGAAGACAAAATAAAGTATTATGTTGAACTGGAGTTAGAAAGGAGCTCTTGCGGTGTAGTGATTAAGGTATTTGACTGCTAACCAAAAAGTCAGGGATTCGATCCCACTAGCTGCTTATGGAAGAAAGATGAGGCAGTCTGCTTCCATAAAACTTTAAAGCCTTGGAAACCCAGTGGGGACTGGTATGAGTCAGAATTGACTTGATGGCAATGAGTTTGGTTTAGAGTTAGAAAACCAAAAGAGAACACACTCAGCATTTCTCAAGCTGAAAGAACTAAGAAAACATTCAAGCCTCGAGTTGCAATAAATATTGAAGAATTCTATGAGAAAAGGAGCTCTGGTGGTGTGGTGCCTAAGGCACTTGACTGCTAACCAGAAGGTTGGCAGTTCAAACCCACCAGCCACTCCTAGGAAGGAAGGTTGGGCAATCTACTTCCGTGGAGATACCACCTCGGAAACTCAAGGGGGGATTGCTATGAGTTGGAATCGACTCGAGGGCAGTGAGTTTGGTTTTGGTTTTAGTATGAGCAAAATACTGAACGGTGCAGGAGAAGGATATCATGCTTGGTAAAGTAGTGGGTGAGCAAAAAAGGGAAGACCCTCAGTGAGACAGATTGACACAGTGGCTGTAATAATGAGGTCAACCATAGCAACGACTGTGAGTATGACATGGGACTGGGCAGTGTTTTGCTTTGTTCTGCTGTATGTAGAGACACTGTGAGTCAGAACTGACTTCAACGGCAACTAACTAATAAAGAGACTTAGAACACCTGCATGTTTTCAGATCGTGGAAGAACACTTTCAAATCAATATTTCCACCACCCCCCCCGTTCTCTCCTCTCCCTTCTCACCCCCTGATAACCAGCAAAGAAAGTTTCCTTCCATATGTAAGCCTTTCCTTGACTTTTTACAGTCATGAACTAATTAATACAGTATTTGTCTTTCTGCGATTGACTTATTTCACTCAGCATAATGTTCTCCAAGTTCATCCACGTTATGGAGCGCTTTGCACATTCTACATTATACTTTAGGGTTGCATAATATTCCATTGTGTCAAATCAACCTACATATTAGTGTTATACACCTTTTTCAGTTTCACGACTGTTCATTCTGTGATTATCAAATGGACACTGCCTTTGTGTCAGTAATTGTTCTGGGCTCCCTGAATGAAATAGACCTAGTTCCTGCCCCATGGGGAGCAACACACAAGAAACAAGTTAACAGAGAAGTAAATCTACATCTTTAATTTGTGAGTGCCTTGAAGAAAACAAGGGGCTGAGAACCATGGAGTAGAAGAGGCACATGCAGATAGTGAGGAGAGCGGAGACCTTCCTGAGGGGCAACGTTTGTGTTGGAAGTTGACGAATGAGAAGGAGCCAGCCATGCAAACAGCCTCCAGGGGAATTTTCCAAGCAGAAAACAGAAAATAGTACTCAGTACTTAGAAAGTCCTAGAAGGAAGGAGGGAAGGGAAAAAGGAAGGAGGGAAGGGGAGAGAGAGAGAGAGACTGAGAAAGAGAGAACAAAATGCTGAGGCAACACCAATAGGTTTCCCCTTTCCTTCACATTTTCCTGTGGGTGTTACTT